GGGGGGGGGGAGTTAATTTCCTAAGGAAAAATAAGAACTCAAGAATTGGGGGGCCTGGAGGTAGGAAGGAAGGTGTATCGTGCGGAAAAGGGAGGGAGGAAGGGGGTGGGGTTGGAGACACTGCTCGGTCTGACTTGGAATTCCGCACAAACGAGGAAAAGAGGAATTGAGGAGATGTGGGTCTAGTCATTGAAACCTGTTAGGCAGCATTTTCCTGGATTTTCTTTTTATGCGTCTTACACTCCTGTTTCAGAAGAAACTGACACCCCAAGAGTACTAACGGCCCAATCCGTCAGGCCACGGTACGACCATTCCACCTCCCCCACGGCCAGAGCTGGTCCCTTAAAAGCATCGCTCCTCGCCAACCCTCAGCCGTGCCTTTCACACGCCGGGCAACCAGCGGGAGGGACAACTAGAGTCTCTCGACTCCAAGGCCAGGCACTCGCGTTCTGCTCCTCCGCTGCGGCCGCAGCTGATTCCCTTCCGGTGGGCAACCCCTGAACACTCCCACATCTCGTTGCTGAACCTGAACCTAGACTTTTTGTAGAGCTGAAACAGGCGGTCACAGAGAAAAACCACGACTGGAGTGAGGGTCTTACCTTTAACAGATTAGACGTCGCCATGTTCCTTCAACTTAGACTCTCGCGAGACAACGCGAGATTTCGTGGCGCTCTGGACCAGGCCACAACCGGAGGCCTGAGTTCCCAGCAGGACTAACGCGCCGCTCGACCCGCACCGAGGGTGTGGTGGGCTCGTCAGCGGCGTGCCGACAGCGCTGACCTTGTACCAGACACCGGGAGCTTCCTCACTCTTTCTCCCTACATGGTCACCGGAGCTTGTCCACACGAAAGAGCTCATGCAAACGCTCAGGGAGACCAGAACGGCGAATAGTGAAAAGGTAACGGGAGCCGACCTGAAGTAGTTGAGGAAACATCGACTCCACGAGCCTCCCTCACACGTTCGGATTAGCCTTTACGGTTGCCCCCGCAGCGGCCACCGGCAACGAAATTAGCTAGGTTTAGGCCCAGCAGCTCAGGTTCCGCGGCCGCATCACGTGACGCGGCGCGCGGGGGCGCGCTCGGGCACGAGCGTGGGAGCCTGGAAGCCTCGGTGGGACCGGAGGCCGGGTAGAGGGCGGGAGCTCGCCCTCTGCTGGCGGGACCCGATGTTTTCCTTCATTCTCCCCTCATTCCCCATCCCAAATCTGGGGACTCGGTTTTAAGGGATGGAAGTGCGTGATCCCGAAATGCTTGTAACAGCTGTCTTCAGTCAGAACTGGCACAGAGAAGGCACCCGGTAAATATTGGTTGAATGAATTAATGCACAAAAGTGATACTATTCATATTACTATTCACGACCTGGCACTTAGATATTCTATAAAAGATTATTGAGGAATGAATATTAATCCTGGATTTCATGAAGGCACATTTTCCTATAAGATCATGAACCCTAAGTCCTCAAGCTTTGTCCCCTCAGACCACAAACCACTGTCCTAGGAAAGAGAATGTAATTGTAGGAGAACACTAGCCGGCATTGTATTATGTGCGTTTACAAACAGTATTCATTCATACATTCATAATATGTTAGAAATAAATAAGAGCTACAAAGTAAAGTAAAGAAGAAAGTGGGGGATGAAGTTTGGGTTAAAGAGTGTGATCTGAGTACGCCTCACTGAGAAGATGGCATTTGAGGAAAGACTTGAAAGAAATAAGGGAGCAGGCTGTACTATATGTGGGAGAAGCGCATTCCAGATAGAGGGAAAAGCAGTGGAACGTACCTGAGACGGCAGGATGCCCACAGGGGCCAAGAAACAGGTCAGTGTGTCTGGAGCAGAGAGAGCAAGGATAGTAGTAAGATCATATAGGACCCTGTAGGCCACTATTATTGTTGTTAGCTGCCATCAGGTTTGCCTCCAACTCACAACAGAACGATCTGGGATTGAACAATGGTGATCCATAGGGTTTTTATTGACTGATTTTCAAAAGTAGATCACTAGGCCTTTCTTCCTAGTCCAGCTTAGTCTGAAAGCTCCACTGAAACCTAGTTCAGCATCATAGCAACACGAAAGCCTCCACTGATAGATGGGTGGTAGCTGCACATGAGGTGGATTGGCTGGGAATCAAACCCAGGTCTCCTGCATGGAAGGTGAGAATTCTACCAGTGAACCACCAGTGCCCCCTTAAGACAGACTTTCATTGTAAATGAGATGGGAAATCATTGCAGGGTTTTGAACAGAGGAATGGCATGATCTAACTCCCATTTTAACTTGATTACTCTGACTACCATGTAGTGAATAGAAACAGGAAGATAACTTAGAATGCTTTTGTAGTATCTTATTTAATCCGGATGAATTAATAGAGAGTAACCTAAAACCAAAACCAAACCCATTGCCATCAAGTTGATTCCGACTCATAGCAACCCTATAGGACAGAGTAGAACTGCCCCATAGCGTTTTCAAGGCAGTAACCTTTACGGAAGCAGACTGCCACATCTTTCTCCCATGGGGCAGCTTGTGAGTTCAGACTGTCAACCTTTTGGTTAGCAGTCAAGCACTTAACTACTGCACCATCAGGGCTCGTTCAGAGAGTAACCTAGCCAAGGTTAAACAGTTACTGAGTGGTAGAGCAAGGATTCAGAGCCACAATGCCTGTCGTGTCCTGGCAGAATGTTAACATAGGGAGACTCAGAGATCATCTTTGTTCTACAGAAGAGAAAATTGAGGCTCACAAAGATGACTTGGCCAAGATCACTCAGCTGCAGGGGCCTATCTATGGAAAATACACCTACTTCATTTCATAATCTCTTATGACCTTTTTCCCTCCTCAGTGGATTACCTTCATCTATACTTGATTGTGAAAATAAATGACATCGTGTGTTTCTCCCATGAAATCTTTAAACTTTCATTTTTCCCTCTTTTAATTCTTTCTTATTACACTATTGGGAAGGCCCCTCCTTCAGCTGAATGCCAGAACCTCTACTTGTATTCTGGATCCCATCTCCTCTTGCCTTCTTAAGGACTATCTTCCTTTAGCCATCGTCTTGTATCATCATTTTCTTGCTCTCTCCTATTGTTATAGATTGAATTGTGTTTCCCAAAAATATGTGTTGTAAATCCTGGTCCCAAAATTGGAGCCCGGGTGGCACTGTGGCTAAAGCACTTGGCTGCTAACCAAAAGGTCAGTGGTTCAAACCCACCAGCTGCTCTGCGGGAGAAAGATGCGGCAGTCAGCTTCCGTAAAAATTTACAGCCTTGGAAACCCTATAGGGCAGTTCTACTCTGTTCTATAGGGTCCTTATGAGTCGGAATCAACTCAGTGGCAATGGTATACTTGTGGTTGTAATCGCATTTGGGAATGGCTTTTCTTTGTTATGTCATAGAGGCCATGTCAGCGTAGGGTATCTCTTAAGCCAGTCATCTTTGAGATATAAAAAAGCAGATAGAGCAAGCAACCAAACAAGCAAAGATGGGGGAAGATAGATGCCAACCCACGTGGAGATCACCAAAGAACCGAGAAACAAGCTGAAACAGAACCAACAGAAAAATAAAGCCTTCTCCTAGAGCCAGCAGCCTGAATTTGGACTTCTAGCCTCTTAAACTGTAAGAAAATAAATTTCTGTTTGTTGAAGCCACCCACTTGTGGTATTTCTGTTATAGCAGCACTAGATAACTGAGACACTTATATTATTTCTGTCAGCATAAAGAACATGTTCAGATGTGCCTTTCATCTTTAAAAAATTCCTCCTTTGACTCCCTTGTCAATTCTAATGGTCGCTACCCTGATCTTACCTCTCAACAACTTTCAACACAGTTCTCCATTCTCCCTTTTCTGAAACACTCTGCTCTCGGCCTCTATGGCACGAAACTCACCTGTTCATTTGTATGATTCCTACCTACCTCTCTATCTACTTTGGCTACTTCTCTATCTTCTTTGCCAGCCTCTTGTCTACCTACCCTTTATGGTTGTACGTCTTCTGGGCTCCAACTGAGAGCCTTTTTTCTCTATATACAGTTTCTCCCTTAGTGATCTCATACAGTCCCATGGTTTTAAATATTATCTGTAATGGTAGGGACTTTGATACATATTTCCAGCTTTGAACCGTGTTATTGGTTGAATTGTGTCCCCGCAAAATATGTGTTGTACCTGTGGATGTGATCCTGTTTGGAAATAGATTTTTGTTATGTTAATGAGGTGATACCTGTATAGGGTAGATTTTAAACCTAATCGCTTCTGAGTTATAAAAAGTCCAGGATAGACATAAAGACACACACGGGAAGACAGACAGCATGTGAGGATTGTGTATAAGCTAAGCAACCAAGGAACATCTGTGGTACCAACAAGAAAGAAATCAACATGGCCAAGACCTTGATTTGTACTTTTAGCCTCCAGAACTGTGAGAAAATGAATTTCTGTTCTTTAAATCCATCCATTTATGGTATTTCTGTTATGGTAGCACTAGTTTACTAAGACAAACCTCTGTCTGAATTCCAGACTCATATATCCAGCCCCCTGTTTGACATATCTACCTGGGATCTCAAACATTTTAAGTTTAACATATTGACAATATTGACCTTTACCTGAGCCCTGTGCTCCCAGAAAACAGTGAAGGTTCATGCCCCCAATCGTTTGTTTTCTGAATTCCTCCACCTTTCTGTGTTTCAGAAATGGCTTACTGCAGAAAACCACCCTTCTCCATATGACTTAGATGAGGTAAAACCCACTATCCACTCTTTCTCATGACTCATAAGACTTGCAGATGACTTCCTTGTTGCTCTGTGACAAAGCCAGACGCACGCTATGAATTCCCATTGTCTCGTAAGTGATTAGCTGAACTGTTTGCCACCCCAAAACTGGTTAGATGCAGAGGTAAACATTTCTTCTTCATCTGACTGGTTGAGACTCCTCCTGATTACCAAAACAATCGCAGCTGTAAAATCACCTCACCTGTAACTTGTCTAGTCCTCCCTATAAAGGTTTAAGTCAAAACAACCCTGCTGAGACACTTTAATCTTCCAATCTGGGATGCTTTCTCTGTTGCAATAGTGGGAATGAAATTAATTTCCTTACTTGCTCAGTGTTTTTTATCTTTGACAGTATGCAAAATAGAACTTCTGATTCTCTTCCCTCTTCTTTAACTGCTATTTTGTCACCTTTCCATGGTCCAGATCTGTTGCTCTCCCACCTTTCCAGGGCTTCCCCATCTCAATTTAAAGCACTACCCTCAGGTCAGAAACCTAGGCATCATCCTTCCTTCCTTTTCTCTACAACCAATGCATCAGCAAACCCTCTTGATTCTGTTTCCAAAACATAACCTGAATCTGTCCATTCTGCTCCATACCCACTGCCATCACCTTATTACAAACCAGGAAACTTAAGCAGATCCCAACTCCGAAAAACCAAACTAGTTGCTGTGGAGTGGATTCTGACTCATGGTGACCCATGTGTGTCAGAGTAGAACTGTGCTCTCTGGGGTTTTCAGTGGCTGATTTTTTGGAAGTAGATCACCAGGGCTTTCTTCTGAGGTGCCTCTGGGTGGACTTGAACCTCCAGTTTTTCTGTTAGCAGCTGAGCATGTTAACTGTTCACACTACCCAGGGACTCCCAGATCCCCAACTACTTTCCTCCAATACATTCTTTATGCAGTACCTCTGGGTTGGGGCCAGGTGGAAGACTTAGTGGTCATTTGGCATGTTGTAAAGTTACCAAATGATACATTAGAGATTGTGGACCTAATTTGGGGTGCTGAAAGAGTACTCTTTCCAATAATTATTTTAAAATAGCATGTATATATTCCTTGTGAGAATATGTAGAAGGGAGGACGATCTGGAAGTGGCAATGGGGAGCAAAGAGAACCCACACCCAAGCTTCAGGCTCAGTAATATGTCTGGCCATGACATGAAAAAGCTACAGGAGAAGCAGTGACTCAGGGGAACCAAGTTTCACTTTGAAGAAAGTACAGGAACAATTAAGAGAAGAGTTTGAGGATATGGGGAATTTCACTGCCTGTCCAGAGGCTCAGCGATTAGGAGAATAGGATTGGAATCAAGAGAGGGAAAGTGCTGAGCTGTACTGGGATGAAGAGTAACCTAGGTGCCAGGCTTCTTGTGGAGACTGACATAAACAAGGCTAAAGGCAAAATGAGATTGTCTTTAATGGTAGAAAGGCAGGGAGTGGGTGTGTGTGAGGGGGTAGGGAGGAGAAGGGTTCTTGCCAGAAGCACACACAGCTCTAGGGGCCCAACTTCTCAGCTGTAGTTAAAAGTGTAGAAGCTGGTGGGGGCGGGGGGGTGGTGCGGGGAGCGATATTACTCCAAATCTACAGGGTTCTTAAGAACTCTCCTGACCTTTACCAGAGGAGGCAGGGAACCTGAGGAGAGACCTGGGCTTATTTGAAGTACTGAGAATTCTGGGGAACAAATGTTAATGATTACTTAGGGGCTAAGCTGCTCAAAGCAACTGGTGAATAGTCACCCACTCTTCTAAGGCTCTTCATTAGCAGTTGTTAACCAATGCCTAAAGCTTATGCCGCAATTATATTTTCTAGCCAATGCTGAATTAAAAAATATGGGGTTTCTGATCTATTTATATAACAGAAAATAAACCTCCCCAAATGCTGAAAAATAGCAGAAATGTCCAATGATTCAAAATACTGCAAAATAACACCCTAAGGCACCAGAATTATCAATACTTAAAAAACTAGTAATTAAGTATATGATTTTTGGAACAAATAGCTATTTTAACCAACTTGGGTTGACCAGCTTACATCCTGTGAACTTGTGGGGGGTCAAATTATCTCCCATCTTATTGCTAGTGTTGTTGACAAAACTGAAACTAGACCCAGGCCTTCTGA